GATTTGTCATGTACTGAATCCTCTATAATGATCTGTGCAGCTTTAGCAGAGGCATCTATAATTGTGAGGCATCATACACCATTGACTAATCTGTTCATGTGCCTTTGGTTTAATGAGGTGGTTCGCTTCACATCCCGTGATCAACTGAGTTTTCCATATGTTCTATGGCGGTTGAAGGTGTTAAAGAACATTAATATGTTCCCTGTCTGCACTCGCAAAGATCTTGTTAATAGCATGGGCCATATACGCAAGGCTAAGCCTCTAACAAACTAATTCTTGGTGCTTTTTTATTTTTTTGAATTATTTTTCATATTTATTATTAATTTCTCAAATGATTCTTGTGGTCTTGTTTGGTTTACACTTTCTATGGTGTTTATACATGGAACGTCCTAGAAGCAACAGCATTCGTGATTCACTAGGACAATATAACGGGTCTACTGGAGGTAATCTTTGTGATGACAATCTGTGTAGCTAACAATCTTTGTTATTCTTTTATATGTCCCTGCACAATTTTGAAGTTAGAACAAAGGAAAAAAAGAAGAAAGAAATAGCTCGACAACATTTTATGTAGACCAGATGCTTCAGCCCGTTTATTAAGTAGGTTGAAAATGAGTTGGAATTGGATTTGGATTACACACAATCTGTTATCGACCCGCTCGCAACCCACCCGGTTTACACTTCTGGCATTCACCTTGTTATTAAATCACTTTTTGGTACCATAAACTCATTTGTGGAGAAAGCATGACTCATATGCTTGAATAGGTTTAGGTACAGAGATTAATGGTGGATTTGGTGGCCAAAACACCTAAATACCAACAAAAGCACTTCAGAACAACTGTATTAAAGGAACTCTCCAAAGCAGTACATCAAAGCCTAAGTACCAAAAACTTTGAAACAGTCCCATAGAGAATTATGCTGCCAAAGATCATATTTTGCACTGCAGTTTCTTTAGCTACACTCGCAGTCATACTCCTGGCCTTGTTCTCACCAGTACCTCACAAACATCCCACAAAGAGTAGCACAAGACCTTGGCTCGCATTGTCCTTATACATTCAACAACCCCAAGTTGCTAGCTCTACTATGCACCCGGTGGCCCCAAAAGATGCCGGAGCCTTGATCTTCCATCGGACACTAACAGAGGGACCTGAGATCACTTCTCCGGTGGTCGGAAAAGCTCAGGGGTTCATCATTCCAATCGAACAGTTTGCGCATTCAGCATTTAATATCATTTATCTCACCTTCGATACGCATGAATATTCAGGTAGCCTTTCTGTCCAAGCCAAGAATGTAGCCCAGAAGGACAAAGAAGAACTCACTGTTGTTGGTGGAACAGGTTCTTTCGCTTTTGCTCGTGGGGTTGCTGTTTTTGCTCAAACAAACAGGCATACGTCTAATTTCGATGCAATTTATCACATTAAGCTGCATCTAAAATTCCCAAATCGTTCTCAAACAATACCTGGATAAGATGCAACTTATTATTTGATTTTTTTTTTTTTTGCTCCTTTCATTTCTTTTCGATTCGATAAAAAATGGGAATTCAATATGAGAGATTTCTGTCATGAAACTCTTAGTAAGATAAAATTATTTCCTTACGTTTATGGATTATGATTGAATGGTAATATTTCGTTCTTCCTTATGTTGACCACCACTTTTCGGTAGTGAATCAACAAATTTATGCCTGGAAAAACAATTAAAGAATGGAATTGGGCAATAATTGGAAGCTCCAACATGTGTCAAATATCATATGGTAAATAGATATGGCCATTGCACCCCTGCCTCTCTTTCTGTCTCCTCATTCCACATCGAGACACACAGAGATCTACATGTACCAAAAAAATAAATAGTGATTTGGTGATGATAATGTTGACCATGGCAATGACTGGAGGCATTGGGTTTGCGTATCAACTATTCACTATTCAGCACACGGGATCTAAATTTGGGAAGATTTAAGAGTACCAATTGGATAGCGAGGGGGTTTGGCAGTGCAGAAAAGGAAAATAATTCATAGCAATTTTAGTCATGCCAAAGCATCGATACGAGTTCGATCTGTATATTAACATGAGCATTAATACGTATAACCTATAAACTAATTGAAGACTATAACCCCAATTTCTCTTAATCACATCCAACATGCATTATCCCCAATGGAAAAAAGTCGCCACCATGGCTGCTGTCTCCTTTATTGCGAAAGAAAATGAGAAAGTTCATCATGACTCAAATTTCAACTAAAATTTAAATTTTAATAAAAATATAGAAAGAACAAACTGCAGTCCTTTATTCATCATTTTTTTTTTTTGGAAAAATTTCATCCACAATTCTTGTAATTAGGTATAAATTCAATGACACATTTTTCCGATTTTAAAATTTCACTGCACTCTTTTCTGGTTTATATTTTCAAATCAATGGCAACCACTTAACGGTAACTTTTATCTCTATCAATAGATAAAGAAATAATTTGACTAAATATTTTGTAAAAAAAGTAAAATTACCCTTTTTTATGTAAATAGAATAAAATGCCCTCAATTTTTTTCCTATTATATATGCTCTAGCCAGACAGCAAGTGCGATCTCTATTATTATATTATCTCAATGAATTTTTCAAGTTTAAAGCATTACATGATAAAACATTAAATCCAAACACCATAATCTACAGTAAAAACAAAAAAATAAAGCAATTCAACATTAAATCCAATTCCAAACATAGAATTTCAAATCAATAATGAAAATTGTTACCCATAACAAGACCTTAAACCTAGATCTCAATAAATGAATTTAAACACATCCATTCAAATTCTAATTTTTGGGAGAAACGACATAATCTAAAGACGCCACAACACAGGCTAGAAAGGGCCGAGACTCTAGGGCTACCCCTTTCTCTTATCCCCCAAGTTCCACAGCCCCTTCTATATTTGTATTCATTTTTCCAATCGATTAATTTAGTCCAATTAAGCCAAAGTTTTTGGTCAATTTCCGAAATTCGAGAATTATCAAAAACCTAAGTGTTGTGCGACCAGACTGTAAAAGTAAGTGAGTGTGTGTGAAATTGAGTGGGTGGACGGGCGCGATAAATTTGCGCGTGTGTGTGCAGGGGAGTGTATGGGTGTGAGTGTGAAGTTAAGTTAAGTGGTGGGTCTTTGAGAAAATAGATGGATGTGTGGGGCTGTGTGCGTCGGTATGTGTATGTGCGTCGGTATGTGTGGGTGCTTGTGCTCGGGGGGGGAACAGGGAAGAAGGGTGGGGTGCGTGTTGTGTGTACAGAATGTTTTGTNTGGGTGCTTGTGCTCGGGGGGGGGAACAGGGAAGAAGGGTGGGGTGCGTGTTGTGTGTACAGAATGTTTTGTGTTTGTCGGAGTGGATGGGTGAGAGACGAACCTGAGTCGCTGGAGATCGCCGGAGTTGGAACTGGATCGTCGTAAAAAACAAAGGGAGGAGANGTGTTTGTCGGAGTGGATGGGTGAGAGACGAACCTGAGTCGCTGGAGATCGCCGGAGTTGGAACTGGATCGTCGTAAAAAACAAAGGGAGGAGAGAATTCGGTGAGACAGATAATAGAAATAAGGGGAGAGAGAGATAATGGACGCCGTTGAAGGTGAGAGAGAAAAATGTTTCTGCATAGGAGAATTTGTGGTTTTCAGCGAACAATAATTCTACATTTTCATCTGAGTGTTGTATTATTTATTCTAATTCAGGATTTTCAATTCTTTGTGGTTGGACACTTCTTGTAATTTACTATACATATAATGAGAATTTCTATATCTCCCCATTTAATTATTTTTGGGATAATAAGTTTTGAACTAGAACCCTTCGTTTCAAATAATACGGATTCACCAGTGAGACTTTTTTTTACCAGATTGAAGAAGATTTTATCCATTTGCTTGAATATTGAGGGTCAATATTTCAAGAATTCTACTATCAAATAAATATACAGAATATTTTGGATAACAATTAAAATAATGAAATGGAAGCATTCATACTTGACCTTGTTAATGGCTTAACTGTAATTTGTATTAGTCCAAAATATAAATATTGATATTTTTATCNCGAGTAACAAAGTGTAACTATGTATTTATCAGATCAATCAGCTGAATCAGTGTTCCAGTCATTACATAAGGTCATCTAATGCCATGCTTAGAGTGACATGCAAATAAACCCTTTCATGTGTCTAAGGCAGTATATTAACAATCTGTTTATGCAATTTCAGAAAGAGAACCAAAACAAGACAGGCGCATACTGCTCTCATGTTTGCATAGCTAGGATCCAAGTTGGGCACTTCAAGGCCGCGTAAAGCACTATTTAACCACTCACATGCTTCAATATTTTGAAGCATGCGTGCTTCATCAAATGAGCCTCCTGTTAGACATGCTGCATACTGCAAGAAACAACACATTGTGAAAAGATAGGGACTAACTAATGTGACAAAATTAAATGCATACCTTAAATTCAGAATGAAAGTATGTGGGGACACCTCTGAAGGAATTCGCAAGCTTTCAAGGAGCTTATCAAGTTCTTCAATCAAGGATTTATTATTTACGGACTGCATTTCCAGCTTGTTATTGCGAGTCTCTATCTGTGTATCACAAGGAAATTTATTTCATGTCAACACAAGAAGGCCATGCTCAATTTCTCCTTCGGAAAGGCTGCCTATTATGCAAATGTATCATTAATGCAAAGTGAAAACCGTTTTACAGTTAATAGAATGATTACTTTTCTGACTGACCATTTTGGAAGATCAAATTAAAATC